AATTTGATGCAAATAGTCCCTTCTGGTACACCGGACATTTCCAGTAACATACAGCTAGTAATAATAGTGTTTTATAGAGATTCTTTTCAGTTAATGGGCCAATTTGAATAATGAGACTGGCAGAAAGGGCAATGTTATCCTTGAATTTATAAATACACATTAACATGTAAGGAGAAGGAATTCATTTTGCCTTTGTATCTACTATTGTTTATGTCACTGTTATAATAACTTTTTGAACTGTAATATACACACTTCAGAAAGTTTGAAAATCCCATGAGTGCACATGGTGGTGACAGAAGGGTCACAGTGTAATGGCACAATTCTGAGAAATCCCATGTATTAATCTGATTATTTAAAAAATTAAATACTGATTTCAAAGGGAAGAAGCTGTACTGAAACAGTGGGACTCAACTTTGCTGATAAGGGTACGACCATATTCCCCAGACAGACATTGAAACAATTCGTTTTTTTCAGAATAAAGAGGAAATAACTGAATAAAGAGGAAGGGCTGAAGGCAATAAAAGAAAAATCAATTAAATGATAACATGCAATCTTTGTTTCTGAAGTACCCTAAGCCACAGAGCTGGCGACTTCTATCAGGGGAGGTATCAGTATGAGCTGTCCTGTTTCCTTTGCAAACACTCACCAGTGACTGCTGTGGAGGGAAGGGCAGATAACTGGATAGTCTAGGACAGTTGTTCTCAAATTGTACTCTAAATAATTCTTAATGTGAGATTGAATAGCCTTTAAGGAGTATTTTTTTAACTTCTATTGTTTCTAGAATAAATTACTTACATTTTTATGCTAAGGGTGGGTGGAGATACAATTGAATCATTGTGATGCTTTCTTATAATCAAATCTGTGAATTAGTATGTCTCTTTTTTTAAAGTTTATTTTTATTTTTAATGTGGTAATACATTTGCAATCATGGAACTCTGTGTGAGCTACATAGTTGTGCAACTGCGTGCTTTAGGCCTGAAAGTGGACAGTTCTCAGGGATCAGGAAGAATCTTCTCTCCTTTCTCTGCAGGAGACAAATGGCTGTATTCCCCTAAGGTGCCTGGGATTGGTTATACCTGATGATAATTTACGTGACAAGTTTGAGCAGTGCTTACAATATTCACAGAGGATTTGTCTTTCTTACCTGTTTGACTTAAGTGTCCTACTCAAATAATCAGGATCATGCCAGTCATCAGATTTGCAAAGGAAATGGATTTTTTTTCAGGTTAGAGTTACAGATAAGAGAGACTTCTTGAAGAGATAGTCTATAGCTTACATCTACACTAATACATTAAATAAACACATCAGTGGCTTTTTTGTTGCACTGAGTACCACTGACACAGATCTTGTGTACACATTACTAAGCTGGCGTCTCCAAAACTGATTAGTTTTTGTATGTTTTGCCTGTTAATAATTGTTGCAGTCTCCACAACTTTTCTTGGGAGTTTTCATGGGCTAAATTTGTACAAGGAACGTTTCTTAAAAATTGTGATAGTGTTTTAAAGCAGCTTGATAATGCAGATAGTAGAATTTCCGTGTCCATTGTGATCCCTTTCATTTTTTAATACAGTGTGCAAGTATATTTTAGGATGGTCCCTGTATATCCTGCTAAAGAAGATCTTTTTAAGGTGTGCCTGTATGGTGCACTAATTTTTGTTGTTTGATCCATGGCATGACAGGAGTGTACTGCTGCTCCAGTCCTTGACCAGCCTGTTCACCAGATAATGGTCTGTCTGTGCAGTTTCCTTCTGGCTGATGTGTCAGTCAGAGTTGTCAGTGACATTTGTACATTCATCATGCATTTCCTGTCTGTCTGTGCAGCTCTTCAGCAGCCGCACAGGAATGCCCAGCAGTCCCAGACCACTTCTCCATCTGCCTCATGAAATGACTTCTGATTTCTTCAGGGCAGGCATGGCCATGTAATCAACCATCTTCCCTCCTACCTCTTTCCCATTCCACTTCCCCAGTGTGGTAACATTTCAGAGGCACTGCACCCACTTTATTAGGAGTTATATGATCTTCTTTTTTGGCTTGGGCACAGATTTTTCTTGGCTGCCTCCAAATGGTCTGGCTGCCATCTTATCCCAAGTTATTTACCTATGTAACTGTGTTCTTTCATTCAACTTTTGCGTGGTGTCCCTTTTACACCATCTGTCAGTGAATTGAACCAACATTTTTGCAGTTGTCATAGTTGTGACTGTTTTCATAATCTGTGAGGGTTTGTTGAGATAATTTTTGGCTTGAGACTATCTTTTGAGTCTCTTTCACTCCTTTAATATTTACTAGGCTCCTGGTGATTAAACTGCACCTTTTGTGTTGCTTTTTGGGTGTGGGCTTTCTGTTTCATTTTGTCTGTTTGTGGGTTGCCTTTTTTTTATTTTTTATTTTTTTTTTATTTCCTATAGCAATTAGACCTATCTAGTTATCTAGTCTCATGGTCAGACTTGATGATTTGTATTTTCAGGGGTTTCTTATCTTAAAATTACTAGCTGTCAAGTATTACATCTGTAGTCTTCTGCATTTGAAACCCAACATCTGAGAACTAAATAGATTCTTGAAGGTTCATAATAAAGTTAGAAGAAATGGTGTCAAAACCAAAAAAAAAGACAAGTTAGTCTGTTTTTAAGTCATATAGAGAAGCAAATGATGGAAGCAAGCTATTTGGTTCATAAGAATGCTGTGAGCTTTCAGACAAATCACAAGAAGAAACCATTCATATGAAAGTAATAAGATGAAAAAATGGAGCTGGAAGATGTTGTAGATAAAGTAAGTCATTAGACTGAAATTTTTTTCAAAAGTTAAAAAAATTTATTCCCGGTAAACTGGGCACTAGGAGAGTGTATGAATATTTTTACAGGAAATTAATAATTGTCTATAAAAATTGAATATTTAGTGATGGCATATTTAGAACATGTTACTACCCTGGTATGTTCTTGCAAAAATAATTGTGCATTGGAAAATAAAGTTATCTTTACCTTAGTTTTATTATCTAATTTAAGTTTCGTTATCATCACATTTTCTTAAAAATGCTAGGTCATGCATAATGAAGAACACACACTTCCCAGCAGAAACTGAAGAATACCGTGGTCTTAGTTTGTCAAAAATATAGCAGAAGCAAGGGACTTAATATAATTCTCTGCTGTCATAGTTCTTTGTGAAACTGAACCTTAGGTGAGGAGTAACTTCAGATTCATACCTGTGGGATGAATCTGAATAGTTTGATTCAGACCATGAGGAAAGTTTTCAGCTCTGCTGAAGTCAGTGACATTTTACTTGCATTGAGTGGAATTGGCTTTATTTTCAAACATCCATTTTATCTAAGGATGTATGTATTTAGTTGTTTTTCCTTACTGCCATTGGATATTAAAAAGCAGAAGACCTGTGTATTTCAGAGACTTTTTCCATTCAGTTCTCAACTATGTTCTAAAGAATTTAGTTAGGGTTTTCTCAGTAAACAAGACTGAGCCATCTACTTTCTCTGGTGAAAAAATTTTGCTTGAACATCAATAAGATTAGGTTCAGACACTCTCCTGAACACAGTTTGGTTCTTTAATTATGTAAAAGGCAGGAAATGTTCAGTAAAAATCCTTTTACTCTGAATCCATGTCATCTTGGAACTTAGGGACATTTCAAGAAAAATAAGAATGTTTTTTTATAAGAATGTTTTCTGTAAGAATGCTGATTTGGTTACCTTCCCCTCCTCCAGACAGCAAGCAAGAAATCAGTGCACATTTGAACCACCTTGATGAAATTAATGCACATGAACATTTAAGTTCAAAATTATAGCTTAATCCCACAAACTGCTCCACACTCAGTACCCTTTAAAAATCAAAGGAATTCCATGTGGTCACAGCAGTCTGCATGCACAGAGAGCTTACTGGATTTGTTCCAAATTTTAAGCTTTGTTATTTTGTCCATGGATTTGGCTTGCAGACAGACCATAACTCTTTTAGCAGTGAAAGGTATATATCTTGTGATCAGACTCCTATGTGATAAAAGTCCTTATGGTATTTTTAACAGGCAATGTCTGGTGGCCCAAAATTAGTAACTATTTGGGTTTAAAATTAAAGCATAAAGATGGTATCTTTTAATTTTTTTTGGCTTTCTAAAGAGTAGAAATTATTCTGAAGCATAGTATGCTTCAGATATCAAGGAAGTCAGTATAAATCCTTGAAAATAAATAGCATTGTGGCGTGTACTTTTATCACCGTCCACATTATAGGATTGCATATTCAAAATATGAAGGTGTAATTAATGAATTCACTGCTATTTTAAAAGCTATGCCACAGAAAATATTTTAACTTCATTGCTAGCTCCAGATATTTACATATTAACTACAAAAAAACTCATTAGCTTCTGTGTTTGAAAGATTGTATCTACAATGACAAAAATTTTCCTTAAAAGAAATATTTTAGCTTTTTGCAGAAATGGTTTTCATTTTAAGTTAATTAGCACATATTCTTAAGATACTATAATTATGGAAGGATAATGAGAAGGGCACTATAACAACAGTTCATAAAATGTTTTTAAAAAATGGTATAATAATTAAGAGTTCAGTTTTTTAAATAGAACCAAAGTCTAAGTAGTACAACTTACACTTAATATTGTTTAGTTGATAAGTGCAAGACCATAGGAGGCTTCCAATTATGTTGGATAAGTAAAACTTAGGGTTTAAGGATAGTAGCAGTCTGTAGCCATGCTGCTGTAACTTCGTAAGAGAATGGTAGACTGCTTTATGGAGCTGGTGATTACAAAGATCCACTTTAACCATTTTTTTCTTGCTGGCAGGTGTCCCACTGGCCTGAGGCCAGCGGCTGTGAGTATACTGCAGCTTGTGGTTTACACCAGAGTGTAGAAAAGGCCGACACCAGCTGGCTGCACATAATTAAACTGATTGCGGTCTGACAACTTGGACTATGATATAGATATGTGATAGATATACAAAGTATCTTACAAACCTGATTCTCTGACATACTTTATCTACTTTTTTTTCTTAACAGATATGATATCTGCACTTATAAAAACAAGCCTTGTGGAACACTGGGTAAGATTATAAAGAGAAATTTCAGCTCATATTTGCTGTTTCCTGGCTTTATACTTAGCTATTGGTTTATTGACTGATTAGATCTTTCTAAGTGGTACTTTCAAAATTTTGCAGTTTTATAAAAATGAAAAATAAAAGATTTTGTCCTTGATACATTGCTGGGAGTTTGAGTTGTGTGAGCTGGTGGTGTGTGTTTTGTCTCTGACAGCTGTAATACTGATAAAACCTAGCAGATGACTCAATTTTACTTCTTACAGAAGAGAGCTTGCTGTTCATTTCCATTTACCGGTGTCCATAATCTAGTTAAAAACACAGAAGTAAAAATCCTCAGGAAGATTATAATACTACCCCCATAAACCTTAAAAAGGAATGGACTTTGATGTTTACACTGTTGCTGTGTTGTACACAGCAAGTACAGCTTCATGTTTTTCCTTTCACAGACTTAGGAAAAAAAAAGGCACAGTGATGGAAAATACAATAACATTGAAACTACTTAAAACAGTGCTTTGACAATGGAGAAGTGCACATGTCAACCTTAGATTAAGGATGGAGAGCTATTGTTCTCTCCATACCTAAATATGTCACCAGTAGTTATTTACTACAATAAATAACTATACATGACTTATAACTATAGGTTGTTGCCTCCAATGGTGCTCTAACATATAAAGGGAACATTATTCAAAGATTAACATAACACTTGTTTAGATTTTTTTTTTTCAGTTTGCATCCTTTCATAAGCCTCTTTCTTGAAGGTGATTAAAGACAAAATTCTAATTAGTCTAGTTCGTATTATTAATACTTTCGTCATTCAGAATTCAGATTGTATTTGGTTTGTCTTTCCCTATATTACTGTATATCACTTTTACTGATAGCCTTAAGCCATGTTATTTTTTTCTGTAAGTCTCTCACAAGTCAGTACAATGCTTCTGGCAGAGGGTGTAGTTTACATGGGGAAAGGTGCCCGAATTTTTGCTGGTATAAACATAAACAAAACCCACAGCATGCTTCAGGAAAATGCAAATCATGCTAATGAACTTCCAGATGTAATTGATTTTATTTGACATTGGAGATAATGAAACTGAAGAGATGATGTCTTAGAAGTGGCTTTGCAAGTGTTAAAAAAAGAAAGGTTAAAGAGAATACATTAATGCATGAACTATTTGATATTTTTTTATTGGATACTTTTGACACAGATCATTAATGTACTAACTCTTACTCTATCAGATTTTGGCATAAAGGCAAATTTTGCTTCACTTGAATCCAGTGTAACAAAGGATAGATTTGGCAAATATTTTATAAAACAAAAACTTTAATTAAAAAAAAATTAAAAATAAGAGTCATGTATGGTATCAGTTCCAACTTGCTGTTATAGGGGTCTTGGCAACAAAACCATGACAATTTTTCTGCATTATAGGCATTGAATTGGAGAAGAGACAAGGCCCTGTAGTCCTCTTTGCAAGGCATTTGATATGCTTAAGTCGTACTGACATCCAATAGCTAAAGTTAATTATATATATGAAGGAGTCTGTGAAAAAAAAATCACAGAGAGGTCTCAGAAGGTCAAAAGAAACCTGAATAATTGGTATTCTAGGAAGAGACAGAAGTAAAAGATTTTATGTGGCATAAACATCTGTATCCTATTTCAGACACCTGAGGCAGGGAACCTTTCATGGAAGCCCTTAGAAAAGATCTCTGACATCTGTGCAGTGTGTTTGTGGCTCCAGTGAAGGACAAGTCCTTTTAAAGTCTCAGTCACTGACTGAGTTCTTAGCTTGATCTCTGTCACTTTCTGCAAGCATGGTATGGAGTTATTTTACTCTGGTCTTCTCATTTGCTGAAGGAAGTCCTCAGTTATAAGACCTGAAGATGGAGAATGACATTACAATTCAAATACGGTGGACTTTGAAGGGGAGCATGATAGTTGTATTGCCATGCCATGTATTGCCATGTTGTCTTCAGAATTCTTCAATTAGAACACCATAGGTGAACTATAATTATTGCATTTTTTGCAGGTTCCACACTGCAAACTCTCCAGAGTCACATTGTCAACTTGTGCCCATGTCCATTTGGCTATCAGAGTAGTTTTGCTGCATCCAAACTAGATTTGTTTGGAAGAAAACACAGAACATATACCCCCCACAAATGCTCCACATGTGCCTATAGGAGACCTGAGATCGCACATGGGGTGTGTTCTCATGATACCCCTGCTATATTTTTTCCCTTCAGGAAGCTTTGAGCCACATGTGTAGTCATGTTGTGCCTACAGGATTCAACTAGTCCAGAATGGCCAAACCAGCAAGCAAAGATACGTGAAGAGCCTCAACGTCAGTGCTTCACTGTGCTGATCCACTCCTATGGCTTCAAATTAATTGCTAATGTGGACACAACAGGAAGCACTTGTCATATTATGATGTCTTCACTGTTAGTCCAAATTGAAAAATTTGAAGTCCCTACTCATATAGATAGTTTGTTTTCTCTTTTCCCCACTCCTTGTTCCGTTCCCCTCATCTCTCAACCAAAGTGAAACTTTTTCAATTTTTTAATTGTTATTTTTGGTGTTGTTTGGATTTTTTTTTTCCTGGGTTTTATTTTTTTTTGGTAATGTAGTTAATTTAGCAGGTAACTTCCATAAAGAAAGGTTTGCTGCTTCTTTCAGATCAGAAATTCTAGGGGAGAAATACATTAAATAAACCTGATGTTTAAAGCTTTCTCTAATGGCACTAAATTATGACTGCAATATGTTCTGTAATAATCTCTTGCTGAAGAATGTGTAAGATACAGAAGAACCATAGTAAGTAAATGCCAGTGGTGTTCTCTCTCTGAAGAAAGTTTTTAAAAGCCCTTCTAACACAATAAGGTTTTAATGCCAGAAGATAATGGGTGATAAATGGAAAAGACTTCCATGCTTAAATGCTTGCTTGTTATTAACATGTCTCCTCTCTTTTCACTGATGCATTCAGTTTTGTTTTTTTAATTTTTTTAACGTACCATGTGAGGTTTTTCATAGCTAAAAAAGTTGCTTGTATGTTTTTATGAACCCACTAAACTTAAACAGATTTCTTTAGAAAAATAATGTGGATACATTTTGCTTTCTTCAGGCACAAGAATGTTAAAATAGAAATGCTTTCTTGAATTCCCTCTTCTGGCTCAAGTTACTAGGTGGTCCCAAGTTACCAGAAGTAAAATTTATAAATCTAACCCCTAGTCTAGACATTTTCCAGCACTGACTGCAGTTCAAAAAATATTAATGTCTAGCCGGCAAAGTGAAATTCCCCCCAGTGATTTTGCAAATGACTAGAAAGTTAACCTTTTGCCAACTGCTCCTTCTGTGCATAGAAGTTATTAAAAAGAATCCAGGCATTTATAACTAGGGCTTTTAAGACTGAAACACCTTGGCATGACCCTTTGTGTCTCCTTCTGTTTATTCAGGCTTGGCCTCTGTGGCTGGAATGTGTGAGCCTGAAAGGAGCTGCAGCATTAATGAAGATATTGGCCTAGGTTCAGCTTTTACCATTGCACATGAGATTGGTCACAAGTGAGTGAGTTTGAAATAAGAATACATTTTAATTTACCCCCTTTTTAATATTAGTTAATAATTGATAAAAGTTTTTTTTCCTGCATCATCTCTATTCTGATGTTCCCTGTTTCTGTATATAGTATTCATGAGTAGCATTACATTTTATTTAATATGTATTACCAGGGGCTTTAAATTTAGAACTGAAGACTCATTGTATACCCTTTGATTTCAGATTCCAGTTAAATCTGTCCTTCTGAGACTTGACTCACAACCTTCCTACTCTGTTTCATATTTTTAAATATTTGGCTTTGAGAATATTTTCTCTCCCATTACTTTTTTTTTGCCTTTCTTTATGAAAGGGAGATGGTTAAAAGGTAAAATTTTTTTGCTCTTTTTATTTTGTCTTCAATACAATTCAAACTACTATAACTGAAACATTGATTCTGTTGTCAATATTAATATGCTTTAAGTCCTCTTTCACTCAAGCATGATTTATATAAAACAGGCATAGAGTAGTCAGCATTACATGTTACATTTGAAGTATTAGCATATAGTTTTAAAGCGTATGTTGTTGTGACACTGATAAAATCTGAGTAGTGTTTGGTCTGGAAATATTTCAGGCCTTCCATCAAAAGACAGCATTCTTAGTACAATGTGATGACTCTAAAAAGACTGGGCACATTCTTTTACCAAGAGTTTTTGGGTTTTTTTTTTTATGTACATGGGTTGAACAATACAGAGTTATGGTTGATATACTTTTCCACCCATTAGCTGATGGAACTGTTAAAAGTTCCAGTGTGGACTGAAGTGAAAGCTAGCAATCTGCTGATCAAAAACAATGAGTTGGAAGTAAACAGTTATTTTTAGCCCACCTGTTATATTAGATTATCACCAAGCAACTATGCTCCCATTTATATTATGTATGAAAAAACCCATACACAGGTAGTTTAGATGAATTTTTCAATTCAAAAGCAATTGTATAAGACCTGAACAATAATCCCTTCCCTTCCCTTCCCTTCCTTCTTGAAGAAAGAGCTCCTCCAATCACTACATGTTAATAGTTCTCAAATTCCTGTAAATAAAATTTTGTATTGTATAGGTGACCTTGCTGTGAATTAATCACATATATTACAACACCCCAATTTTCCAATACAGTATTTTCATTCTAATTCCTATGTCATACATCTACTTATTCATGGAATCACAGAATTACTAGGGTTGGGAGGGACCATCTTGAGAGGAACTTCTTGTGTTTTAGTTTTTGGCTCCTTGTCCTGTTCCTGGGCACCACTGGAAAGAGTCTGGCACCATCCACTTGGCATCTGCATTTGAGATATTTGTATATATTTTGTACGTGTTATTCCAGAAATACACAAAATTATTTAATATGTGCAGCAATTTAATCCTGCAAAGATGGCATGATGACCAGAATTTGCTGGTCTGAAAAAAACCCCAACATATAGTGATAACATATATCCTGTGATCATAGGAATGTTTTTTTCCCTTGGTGTTTTCTGTGTTTCTTATCTTTTGGCTTCTCATATATAAGGTATTTTAAAATTCTGAAATCTCAGCTCTTTGAGGCTTTCAACTAATTCTTGAGATGGCATGATATGTCAAATGCTGATTTGATAAGATGCAGAAATAATATTCCTTTAGCTTTTATGCAAGTTTCTGTAAAAAATCTTCAAGATTTGTTTTGTGGTAGCCACAACATCACCTGTCATTCTATCCACATCGTGACTGAATGCCTCTATAAATTTCAAAGTTGTTATTTCCTCTCAATCTCCTAGTTTCTCTCTAGTACTTACTAGACATTATTTGCATATGTGGGTAAAAGAATTGTTTCTGAGAGCCTTGTAAAACATTTTTCTTTGGCTGTACCTCTTTTCAGACTTAGAATAGGAAATTGACTTAATTGTTAAGTGAAAAATAGAAGCATTTTAAGGACATATCTACATTGAATATGTAACATAGAACAAAAGAGTGCTCAATTACACAGAATCACAGAATGGGTTAGGATGGAAGGGACCAGAGTGGGTCATCTGGTCCAATCATCCTGCTCAAGCAGGGTCATCCTAGAGCACATGGCACAGGCGATACCCAGATTGTTGAAAACCTCCAGTGAGGGAGACTTCACAGCCTCTCTGGGCAACCTGTTCCTGTATGCAGTCACCTGCACAGTAAAGAAGCTCTTCCTCATGTCCAGGTGAAACTTCCTGGGCATCATGTCTGTTCTATCACTTAGCATCTCTGAGAAGGACTTGGCTTGGTACCTCCCATTCATGTACTTACAGGCACTGATGAGGTCCCCTGTCAGTCATCTCTTCTCAAGGCTGAAGGGACCCAACTCCCTCTCAACCTTTCCTCATAAAAGAGATGCTCCAGACCCCTAATAATCTTCACCCACCTCCACTGGACCCACCCCAGCAGCTCCATGTCTGTGTTGTCCTGAGGAGCCCAGAACTGCACACAGCACTCCAGGTGAGGCCTCACCAGGGCTGAGCAGAGGGGCAGGATCACCTCCCTCCACCTCCTGGCAGTGCTCTTCCCAATGCCCCCAGGATGCCATTGGCATTCTTGGCTACCAGGACACACTGCTGGCTCATGGACAGCTTGTTGTCCACCAGGACCCCCAGGTCCTTCTCCACACAGCTGCTCCCCAGCAGGTCAGCCCCAGGCTGTGCTGCTGCCTGGGGTTGTTCCTCCCCAGGTGCAGGATCCTTCATTTGCCCTTGCTGAATTTCAGATGGTTCTTCTTTGTCCCTCTCTGCAACCTGCTGAGGTCCTTCTGAAGGGCTGCACAGCACTCCAGGGTATTTGTCACTGCTCCCAGCTCTGTGCCCTCAGTGAATGTGCTGAGCAGGCATCTGTCCCTTCATCCATGTGATTGATGAATATACATGTAAAAAATGTATGAGTAGTGAGGAGCAGAAAGTGAGCAAAAAATAAATTAAACCCCCCTCCCCCCCCCCCTACATATTTATCAGAAGGTATGACTGAACATTATAATCACAATCAGACTATCGGTCTCTTAAGTTTTCAAGGAAAAATGCTTTTCTGGATAGCCTTATAATTAGATTAATATGGGAGAATTGCTCTTTGAAAGATCATGTTTTTATTAATTGTATAGTTGCTATGGAATACCGAGTTTTTAAAAAACTTTTAAATTTAGGATCAAAATTCTTTAGTGATTAAAAGAGAACAACTTTGATAATATATTTTTTATATATATTTTATTTATTTTTTTTTTATCCACAGTTTCTCTAAAATTTCATTTATAAGCTTCCTTGAGGAAGTGGCTCAACTTGTTGTTAGTACTTTATTGAATTATACAGTGATGAGAAGTCATTAGATCCTTCAGTCTGAATTCCTGTATATCATAGTGTATTAAATTTAGCTCTTGTATTCAAATTAGTTCAATTTGATTGAAGAATATCAGGAAAGTACTTCTTGAAACCTTAAAGGAACTGGTAGTCTGATTATAATAGTCAGTCATACTTTCTGTTAAATAGAGTTTAAAAAAAAATAAATTGGCTTCCATTCCTTGTCACTTGTAGTGTTTATATGTATATAACCCAGTTTTGGTACTGTTCAGCTGTGTACAGTTCATGCTCATAACCAGCTATTTTTATTGAAGGTTGTGGTAGACAGTGATTGTTTCTTTCTTGAGGGCATAAACAATGGAGAAACTAACATTTTATGATTGTTTCTCCCTAGCCATGATTCAGAGAACAGCCTTGTATTACTCTTAGTACTTCTGTGAATTAGATAAAATTCAAAGTTGGCCCTTTAGACGTCAGAATAATTTCTCTAGAAAACTGAATTTTGATGTATAACGTACAGAATGTTTGTTTTCCTACCATTATGTATTTCACACCAAAGATGCTTAAGATTTCTGGTAACTTCTTGTACCAGGAGTGAGAATTGAGTGTGTATCCCCTAAACTGTCAAAGTTCGACTTTTTCTCTTGGTGAAGAGAGGAACTTTTTGCAGGCCTGATCATGCTTTTATCTCAGACAAGTTGAATGATGTAAGATCCAATCACATTTTCTACTCCCCAGCCAGCTGAGTTAGGTAGCTTTCTGCTCTATGCGTTTATATTTGGTACATTCTAAAATATCTAGCTTGTCCTATGCATGCTGTAAAGCATGCTTAGTTAAACTGGTAAGGAATTCCACTTTCTACTGGAAGAGGTCATAGGTAAAAGAAAGGTATTTTACCATTCATTGTTGCAGTTTTGTGGAGGAGTTGGCTGAGATTTTGAAAGTGAAAAACAGAGCGAGAAAAAAATAAATAGAATAAAAATGGGTAAAAAAAGGAAATGTCAAAATATGAGGATTAGGCTTAGGATGGAAAGTTGCCCATAAAACTTGGAGAAAGAAAATAATTTACTAATGACCGACAGCCATTGAGGGCTGTATGAAAGGAGCTGGTTAAGATAGATTAGTGGCTAAAATAGTTTCTGAAAAGTCAGAATTGTCTTGACTTATAGATGATGTAATTGCATTAAATTTGACAATTTGACAAAAAAATGTGAGAAATAATAAGAACATATAGTCCAACTGACTGAATTCTCTTCAAATTAAGAACAGCGATGCTTTCAAGCACGCATTTAGTTCTAAATTAGATCATATTGCTAAAGTGTGCCTGCAGTTCTAGCACTTTTCAAAGTCTGTTTTCAGCCTGTATACAAAATGAAAAATATTATAAATACCCCTCCTTCTATATGAGAAGAATTTTCTTCAGTGCTGGAGTAAATCTTCTAATCTGGTGGTACTTTCAGGAGGTGCTTGTCTGTACCCCATTCTTGAGTGACCAGTGAGTTCATGTTTGAGCAGGGCATTGGGTTTGCGTGGCCAGGTTTTAGCAGCAGGCAGGCTACAGTGGTGTCTTTTGTGGGAAGCTGCAAGAAGCTTCCTCCCTGTGCCACAGAGACAATGCCAAGAAGCTTCAGGATGGAGTGACAATGGTAGGACAGTGGGCCCATCAGTGACAGAGCTAGGGCTTCTGGGATA